AATGATTAGATTTTAGTTCCAGAATTTTCTTAAGCTGATGGCTTTCCTCAAAATAACGATCAATCTTTTGAGCATCAGCAATACATGTGACTGAGTATTTGCAGCGTCGGCAGTAGCTGTTTGACAGTATTCTAGTTATGTTCGCTTGACTCGAATGATATCTTGGAACTGCGTATTGTTTGGAAGCACGCAGCTCCAAAACCCTGCAGATCTGTCGCAGGCATAAGTCTAACACGACACCCCTTCCCCTTTCGTTCGAAGCCCTAATTCTTGTGCGCCTAACCCTAGTAGGCATCACGAACTATGCATGACGCTGCGGATTATACTGATCTACAATATGGTAGTTGAAGTTGTAGGAAAGAAGGACTGGAGCGAGGAGGCTCAGTCGAGAATTTGCGGTGTTGAGAATATAAGTTAGTGCCTAAAGATGGCTTTTGCCGCCCAGTTGATCGCCCAGTTGATCGCCGACTAACCTCGACGTGGCCTTCGCCTCTGCGTTTCAGTTGCTGTTCGCAACATGGAAACTAAGCATGAAATGGTCAAATTTGATTGTGCCGTATTCGAAGCAACTTATCAATATTCAAGCGTTATAAAAAGTATCCTTTGCAGCCATTGCGTCGAAGTATGTGGCACATCTTGATGTGGTTCGTAGTTGAATCAATGAATTCCTATCCTCGTACCATTTTTTTGAAGGTGTAATAATTAATAAGCTCCATTAAGCTGTACTGTACGAGCTCGCCTTAAATTCAGCAATTTGTTAAGGCACTGTCATCGTGTATTCGCATTCTTGCCTGTACTTGTTTTTCTGTACAAAGTTCGATGCCGGGGTAAGACGGAGCAGCGATTATATATTCAGAATATATAAAAACATAACAAAGAGGTGATAACAGCATATTGAATGGTGTGGCATTAATATGGGAGATTTTTATCGACTATTTTGGCAGACCAAGAAATGCCGTTGTATACACGAGCTAAATACAGCCATGAATATTCTGTTCAAGTGCGTCTTCCGCATCGTCAATGGAGACGAATCTGGTGAAGGCTAATGCAACACGGAGCCAGCCTATGCTTCGAAAAGCGGCGCCTAATATATGGCAACGTCTGCAAGAAGCTTGGTTCAAGTGGAGAGCATCTCAAGTCATACCAATTGGCCCAACAGTCAACGACCTTCCACCCTACAAGAAGCTAATTCGGAGATCATCCTCCAACATCCAGACGCTACCGCGACAAAGTGTGGTGAGAATTCAGCTCAAATATCTGTCTTTTCGTGATGCTTTTGGGTTCCTGGGCCTCCCTATGGTTGTAGTTGCTTTGGTTTGTATTTCCTGGACGGTT